TGTTCTTCGTTGTCTCTGACTAACACTTTGCTTTGATACATCTATAAATTTGTCATCATCATTGTCGTCACAGTTAATAATAGGAACGTATTCGTTAAGAGAATCCCTTAAATGTATACTATTTCTTCTCAACAATTGTCCTTTCCTATCTTTTACAATATATGACCTAGGTTCATTACATTTATTTACAATTTTTGCCGACTCCCATTTACCTCCCTTTTGTAAGGTAACATTTTGATTGTTCACAAAATTAGGTTTAGCTTTTGTAGTCCTGTCATAGTAGTATTTTGTCTGTTGTTGTTTGGTGTGTAATTTCTTGATTACATTGTTTGGATCAACTGTGTTAAATTCTAAAGTACGTTGAGGAACTGGCAGTTTGGTTTTGATGTTTCGATTAAAAACTAATTCTGCAGGAGATAGACCTACACCAACAATTTTTGTCGATCTGTAAGACATTAAACCTGTTGTTAACTCACAGCTCTTTTTTAAAAGTGACTTGGCTATTTTTACCCCACTTTCTGCAAATCCATTACTTCTAGGATAATGTGGACTACTTGTTGTTATTTTAAACCCATACTCATCCGAAAATTTTTTGAAACTATAAGAAGAATATGGCATATTATCAGCTATCAGTAAATCCGGTATTCCAAAGTTAGCAAAAAATTTTTTAAACTGTTTTATCAATTCAATTGAGTTTTTCTCTCTAATTGGAACTACATCAAGCCATTTAGAGTAATAGTCAAAAATTATTAAATAATTATTCTTTGCATATTCACATATGTCTGATCCTATTTTAGAAAATGGTCTACCCGGTAAAGGATGACTTATCAATGGTTCTTTTGCATTTGATGAACGATTTGATTCACAAATTTTACAACTTTTAATAAATGTGATAATCTCTTTATCATAATTTGGCCAGTATAATGCTTCTTTTGCTCGACTTAAGGTTTTATTAACACCGAAATGACTTTCATGAAGTAAATTCAACATACTTCTACGTAAACTTGGTGGTACTAACAACCTATTTTTAAACAAAATTATTCCGTCAACAATAGTCAAGTCGTTTCTAACACTGTGATAAAATTTTAAAATTTTGGAATTGTCATCAATATCATGTATTTTATTGGGCCATTCAGTTAAACAATATTCTTTTACTTTATTTAGAACAGGATCTGCTTGAGTTTCCTTTTGAAATGTTACTTTTTTATTCTCTGAAATGTTTACAATTGCATGTATGTTATGTACTACTTCAAGCATCGATTCATCATCTTCCACTGGATCATTTAAATAATTTCTGGACAACAAATCAGCAACATGTAAAAATTTTCCTGGCATATACTCACATTTTATATCATACCGTACCAGTTTTAATTTAATTCTCTGCAACCTAGGAGAAATGATGTCAGCAATTTTTTTATTCATTATTGAAACCAGTGGCTTATGATCAGTACAGATTGTTACTTGCTTGCCATATATATAGTTATGAAATTTTTTTACTGCAAACGCCATAGCCAAAAACTCTTTTTCAATTTGAGCATAATTTTGCTCTACTGTTGTCATACTACGCGATGCAAACGAGACTGGTCTTCCTTCTTGCAACAAGCAACAACCTAAACCACTCTTAGAAGCATCTGTATGTATCGTTATTTCTTTTTTATCATCAAAATTTGTCAGTACAGGTGCTACAGTAAGCATATTTTTGATTTGATCATAAATATTTTGATGTAGTTCAGTCCATGAAAAAATTACATTATTTTTTAATAAATTTCGCAATGGATCTGTAATTTCTGACAAATTAGGCAAAAAGTTTCGAAAATAATTAAACATGCCTAATACCTTTTGTAAATCTTTCTTATTTTTGGGTTCTTTTAATTGAATTATTGATTTAATCCTATCTGGATCTGGTTGCATGCCATCTTTTGAAAATAAATGACCTAAATATTTAACTTGACTTTTTCTATATTGTACTTTACTTTGATTAAATTTAATATTTAACTTTCTGGCTCTATCAATAACTTTATTGAGTATTGCATCATGTTCTTCTTCAGTCTCCCCTGCAATTAATAAGTCATCAATATATACACTAACTCCCTCAATGTCTCCAAAATTGTTTGTATTTAATTTTTGAAACAACTCTGGTGCTGTTTTCAGACCAAAGGGTAACCTGTTGAATTGATAATACCCAAACGGACTACTAAATGTACAAATCTGCTGTGATTTATCATCAAGTTGCACGTGATAAAAACCATCTTTAAGATCTAGTACAGTATAGCAAACTTTATTTTTCAATTTTGCAGTTATTTCTTCCATTGTTGGCATAAGGCAATACTCCCTTTCGATATTTTTATTTATATCAGCTGGATCTAGACAAATTCTTAAACTACCATTCGGTTTTTCAGCAATAACCAAATTGCTAGCCCATTCAACTGGTCTATTAACTTTACTTATTATACCTTTTTGCTCTAAATCATTTAAAGTCAATTTTAATTTATTTTTAATTGAAATTGGGACTCTTCTCGGTGGTCTGTTAACAGGGATCGCATTTTTTCTTAACAATATTTTATGTACACCCCCAAATTTACCTGTTCCCACAAACAAATCTTTATTTTCATCAAGAAAATTTTCTTCAGTTAATGTTTTTAAATTATTTACTCTCTTGACGAGACCTAACTGAATGCACGCATTTAATCCCAACAAAGGTTGATTATTATTATTACACACATAGAAACTAATCAAGTGTCGTTTACCTTTAACAGTACAGTCCAAGTCAATAAATCCTAAAGGCTTAATTTTATATCCTCCCCATGACTCTAACAACATTTTTGTGTCCCTGACTATCTTATTCATACATTTGAGTTGCCTTACTAACTTTTCTGGAATTGTGTTAACCTCCGCCCCAGTATCTAATTTCATTTTCACAACAGACCCGCATAATTTTACATCTTCATACCACGCTTTGCTAACACTGTTAACACCCAAACAATATTTCTTAACGCCTTCCACCATAAGCGTTGGTTCTGAACCACCCGCAGTGAACTCGTCATTCTTAACTTCTCTAACTTCCTTAACTCTACAACAAATTTTAAAGTGATTCATTTTACCACACCGGTGACACTTCTTTCCAAAGGCAGGACAATTACGAACACAATGCTGTGTTTTACACCTGGTACACAAAAATCTCGTTACTGTTTCTTGTTTCTTCTGACTATCGTCTTGCTGTTTCTTCTTATAAGTTTCTGAACTTGCATTCTTCTTCTGGAGTGCTTCCACAGCTTTCGCTCCTTCTGTCTGCACCGTCTGTATATAGCCCTTGGCTGCTTCATTTGTTCTACACATGGTGACCACATCTGCCAGGGTGACACTTCCTTTAACAATTAACTTTTGCTGTACTTCTTTGTCAGATATTCCAAAGATTATCCTATCTCGTAGCATTTCTTCGGAGTCTTTGAATTCACATCTTTTAACTGCAGTCCTCAAATCATTCACAAAATGATCGAAAGATTCACCACACTCTTGTTTTCGATTGTAAAACAAGAATCTTTCATAGACTATGCTTTTCCTAGGATTAACATACTTCATAAACTCTTCCACGACCGTTTTATATACTTTCTTCTGTGCGTCTGTCAACTCAAAGTTACTGTATATTTCAATACCCTCTTCTCCCAATACATTAAGGAGTATGGCAATTTTTACTGGATCCTCTTTTAGGCTTCCACCACTTGCCAACATATAAACTTCAAATTGACGTATAAATTTTGTGAAATTTTCCTGCACATTTCCTTCAAAACTAAACTTTCTCGGCGGTTTGATATCCATTTTCTTCAACTATAATTATTCGTTCATCAAACTACTACAACGACTGCGCCATGTTTTATATTGGTTTTAGAATATTAATAAAACCAGCTTCTACAATTATTTGTTTATTCTAATCTCTTACGTATCTAACAACATTCTCTAAGCCTACTTCTATAACATCATCTCAAAATTTTGCTGAATAAATTCTACTAAAAATGTGCAAAATATGATGAGTTTGTAATTGTAATTTATCATTGCATTAATATTTTTTTAGATTTGTTAGGTGGCTCAAAAAAATTAATGAATGAGTGAATTTATTCTATTGATTAAATCAGTCTCGACTCACTCCATTTTCCCAGAAATTTTTGGAATACTGTTATTTTTAGTCTAAAGATACATCGATTTACGTGTCCTTGCAAAATGTTGATGATTTCATCACAAAATTGTGTACCTAAAGTAAAAATTTAACTCGAAAATCCTGGATATGTTTCATTGTATTTTAGGTGCGAGGGAAGTTCTGTCGAAACAACGTTCCACCAACTGCACTTGCAGGTAAGGCTCCACCAAACCTCAAGGAAATTTTTATTTTATGAGATATGCGACTTGTAGTATCTAGAGTAGAAATCATTTGAAAACAGCACGTTGTGTCATCGAAAGATGCGCGGAGACCGCGGAGACAATCGACCAGTGGCGTCGAGATTTTTGTTCTTTTAGGGGTCAATGAAAAATATTGTTGGGGGCGTAAATGTTGAAAATTGTAAAAACAATATTCCAGTGATTTTTTACTTCACCTGCAAGTACAGTTGTTAGCGTGAAATATTTCACAGCCTTATAAATTGCTGAATTGAAAAATGATCAATTTTTCTCAATCCAGAATGCAGTAAAAATTTAACATTTTCTCAATATGAGCCAAAAAAAATATGTTCCATTTCACGATTTCTGATACTGGTTAAAATTAATCTACTTATTTCTGAGACACCCTGTATACCTAAATCTTGTTGGTGGTTCATCGTTTGTAGACAGATCTAACGTAACTTGATTGTACAGACGTATAACTGAAAAAACCTTTGATAAAAAACAGAATTTATGAGCATCTGCAAATTTTGCGATTCCAGAACACTCTGTATTTTTAATGGGAAATGGTATACGGTTTTGCAATTATGTATATAATTAAATTGCAATAATTTAGAACATTATGATTTTAGTAACCACGTGTCATCAGCTGTCACGTGTTACTTTTATTTGAAAAAATAAATTACATTTTTTAAAATACAAAAAAGAGTTTAATCAACTTTTTTCCTTTTCCTTGGAAGTTCATCTTCTTCACGTTCTTTCTCCAGATATTTCTTAGGAATTCCTACATATTTTCCAGCTGACAACATTTCAATTTTTTCAGCGTGCACCATTTTACCTTTCACGATGTACGCAATTGTAGAATACGTATTGTATCCTTTATCAATCGCTAAATATTTTTTCATTAACAAGTAGGCTAAAACCACTTCTGCTTGTTGCCTAGACATTTTTGGTACCTTCAAATTAGAGATTCTTAGTTTTTTTGGACCTGTTTGAAACCAACCATCGAGTAATTTATTCAGAGTCAGCTTCTCATCGTTTGACGTTGCCTGTTCTATCAACTGATGAACATCAACGCAGATGCTTGTTAAATCGTAGTATACAAAATCAGTATTGCCGGTACTGCAATGGTCACACATTTTGTTACAGTGACTTTTGTCCCAGACTTCTTCAAAATGTGTCGCTATTATGGAACGCCTACATCTGCAACGTACATTTTTTAGAGAACATTAGTTGCAGAACATTGAAGGAAGTAACTAACCTTGTTTGATCTAAGCAATACTCCAGAGTTAGTAAGGCTTTTTTTTCTTCCATGACTGAAGAAACCATTGTTAGGATTTTTAAGTAGTCATTTAAACTGAACAGAACTATACAATCTGCATTTTTGCTATCTCTTCCAGCTCTACCGCTCTCTTGGTACAGGCTCTCCATGCTTCTTGGGATTGCATGATGAATAACAAAACGAACGTCTGGTTTATCTAAAAACAAACAAAGAAAAAAGTATTGTTGTAATTAGAAGAAAAAAAATCAATATCAGAACAGACCGATTCCCATTCCAAAAGCAATAGTAGCTACTACCACTTGATAAATCTTCTCCAACCATTTTCTGTGGATTTCCTTTTTTTGGTGAGGCTCGAGTTGTGCATGATATGGGGCTACTTTGAGACCCCTATTTTTCAACTCTACAGCTAAATTAGTACTTTCACTAATAGTAGTTGTATATATAATTCCAGTTTGGTTGTTGTACTCTTCTTTTAACAACTTTTCCAGATAATCCAATATTGCATCTTTTGATGAGGGCTTAGGCAGCACTTTATAAAATAAATTTGGTCTATTAAATGGAGCTGTAATTATCATACAGTTTTCTAAACTCAACATTGTTTGTACATCCGTTAATACAGTCATTGTAGCTGTGGCAGTTAAACCCAGAAAAGGAACTCTAGCTAACATTGGTCTAAGTAGTCCTAAATATCCATAATCAGGCCGAAAATCATGTCCCCACGTAGAGCAACAGTGAACTTCGTCTAAAATTAAGTAAATTAAGTTTTATTTACGTTCAGAGTCATCATATAAAATAAAAAATATATAAAATGGTGCAAATTTCTTACAACTACACCTTGTCCAATTGTATTTCACATAAAGTCAATTGTAATTCGGTTTATGAATTCGATTTCAGAAAACATCAATTTTAGGTCAGATCAACTAATTCTACTTCACAACATTTCTAATTCGGATTAGCCAATAAGTATTACATTTTTCAACATTTTCATCTATTCGATATTTTAATTTTTGGATTTTTGGATTTTTTAGCCATTTCTCAATTTTTTGATTTTTCGATTTCTCGACTTATCGATATTTTGAAGTTTTCTATGTCGCGATTCTTCAATTTTTCGATTTCGACTTCTCGGTTTCTCAGTTTTTCGATACTTTATCTTTTCAATTTTTCGATTTTCTAATTTTTCAACGTTTCAGTTTTGGGATTTATGCATTTGAATTTTTGGATTTTTCAATTTTTCGCATTTCTAAATTTTTGGATTTTTCGATTTCTCAATTTCTCGATTAATGGACTTTTTAATTTTTCGACTTTTCCATTTTTCGTTTTTCCGACTTCTCGATTTCTCAATTTTTCGATTTTCAAATTTTCAATGTTTAAGTTTTGGAATTTTTCAAAATGTATTTCGTTTTTAAAATTGTTAGATTTTTCGACTTTATGTTTTTTTGATTTTTTACTTATTCGATTTCTCAAAATTTTGCGATTTTTTAAATCTTACATTTTTCGATTTTCCAATTTTTTGATTTTTCAATTTGTTGATGCTTTGATTTCTCGATGTTCTAAATTTTCAATTTTTCGAATTTTTAAATTTTAGATTTTTCACTTTTTTGTTGTTTCGATTTCCCAATCTTTCGATTTTTTGCCTTCTCGTTTTTTAGATTGTCCGATTTTTCAATTTTTCAGAATTAATTTTTCAGTTTTTCGATGTTTCGATTTTCACTTTTTGGTTTGTTTTTTTTTAAATTAAAATTTTAGAATTTTGAATTTTTCCATTTTTCCATTTTAAGCAACTTCCATTTCTGAATTTTTCAATTTTTCGACTTCTGGACTTCTTGATCTTTTGACGTTTCGATTTCGCGATTTTTTTATTTTTCGATTTCGATTTCTCAACTTCTCAGGTTTTCGATCATTTATCTTTTCGATTTTTCAATTTTTCAATTTTTGGCGTTTCTAAATTTTTGGATTTTTCGATTTCTCAATTTCTAGATTAATGGATTTTTTTAATTTTTCGACTTTTCGATTTTTCGTCATTCCGATTTCTCGCTTTCTCAATTTTTCGATTTTCAAATTTTCAGTGTTGAAGTTTTGGGATTTTTCAATACATATTTAAAAACTCGCAAAATTTTGAAAAGTCGAATAAGTAAAAAACCAAAAAAAAAACAGTCGAAAAATCTAAAAATTTAAAAATCGAAATCTTGAAAAATTGATAAATCCCAAAACTTAAACAGAGAAATCGAAAAATTCAAAAATTTAGAAACGCCAAAAATTGAAACATTGAAAAATTTAAATACATAAATCCCAAAACTGAAACGTCGAAAAATGGGACTCGAATAATCGAAAAGACGAATCTAAACTGAGAAATCGAAATCGAAAAATTGAAAAAACAGGACATCGAAACATCAAAACATCGGTAAGTCGAGAAGTCGAAAAATCGAAAAATTGATATGTAAGTACATATATCGAAATATTCAAAGATTGAAAAATAGGAAAATCCAAAAATCTCAAAATGAGAAGGCAAAAAATCGAAAAACTGAGAGATCGAAACAACACAAAAGTGGAAAATCAAAAATTTGAAAATTGGAAAAATTGGAAAATTTAAAAAAGTGAAAAATTAATTCCGAAGAATTGAAAAATCTAAAAATCGAAAAATGAGAAAGCAAAAAATCGAAAACCTGAGAAATCGAAAAAAAAAGTGAAAAATCTAAAATTTAAAAATTCGAAAAAGTGATAATTTACAAAATCGAGAAATCAAAACATTAAAAAATCGAAAAATGTAAGATTTAAAAAAGTCGCAAAATTTTGAAAAGTCGAATAAGTAAAAAATCAAAAAACAGAAAGACAAAAAATCGAAAAATTTAAAAAACGAAATACATATTGAAAAATTCTAAAATTGAAAAATCCCAAAACTTAAACATAGTACATTTTAAAATCGAAAAATTGAGAAAAGTCAAAAAATTAAAAAATCCATTAATCGAGAAATTGAGAAATCGAAAAATCCAAAAATTTAGAAATGCGAAAAATTGAAAAATCGAAAAATTTAAATACATCAATCCCAAAACTGAAACGTTGAAAAATTAGAAAATCGAAAAATAGAAAAGATGAATTATCGAAAAACTGAGAAACCGAGAATTCGAAATCGGAAAATTGAAAAATCGCGAAATCGAAACATCAAAAGATCGAGAACTCGAGAAATCGAAAAATCAAAAAATTGAGAAATGGAAGTGGCTAAAAATCAAAAAATGAGAAAATTCACAACTGAAAAATTTTAACTTAAAAAAAAACGATAAACCAAACAGTGAAAAATCGAAACATCGAAAAACTGAAAAATTGATTCCGAAAAATTGAAAAACCGGAAAATCTAAGAACGAGACGGAGAAAAATCGAAATAAAACCGTTAAATCGAAAATTGTGAAAATCGAACTATTGAAAAACTGAAAAATGAATTCTGAAAAATTGAAAAATAGAAAAATCTATAAACAAGAATGCAAAAAATCGAAATATGTATGGAGAAAAATGGAAACAACAAAAAAGTAAAAAAAATTTAAAAATTCGAAAAATTGGAAATTTACAAAATCGAGAAATCAAATCACTAAAAAATCGAAAAATGTAAGATTTAAAGAAATCGCTAAATTTTGAAAAATCGAAAAAGTATAAATCAAAAAACAAAAAACAAATCGAAATACATATTGAAAAATCCCAAAATTGAAAAATCTCAAAACTTAAACACTGAAAATGTGAAAATCGAAAATTTGAGAAATCAAAAAACCGGAAAGACGAAAAATTGAAAAGTCGAAAAATTAAAAAATCCATTAATCGAGGAATTTAAATACATAAATCCCAAAAATGAAACGTTAAAAAATTAGAAAATCGAAAAATCGAAAAGTTGAATTGTCGAAAAACGGGGAAACCGAGAAATCGAAATTGAAAAATTGAAGAATCGCGAAATCGAAACATCAAAAGATCGAGAAGTCGAGAAATCGAAAAATTAAAAAATTGAGAAATGGAAGTGGCGCAAAATCAAAAAATGAGAAAATTCACAACTGAAAAATTTTAACTTAGAAAAACCGATAAACCAAAAAATGAAAAATCGAATCATTGAAAAATCAAGTCGTTGAAAAATCGGACCATCGAAAAACTGGAAAATTAATTCCGAAAAATTAAAAAACCGGAAAATCTAAGAACGAGAAGGCGAAAAATCGAAACAAAACCGTTAAATCGGAAATTGAAAAATCGAACTATTGAAAAACCGAAAAATGAATTCTGAAAAATTGAAAAATGGAGAAATCTAAAAACAAGAAGGCAAAAAATCGAAATATTGAGAAAAATTGAAACAACAAAAAATTTAAAAATTCGAAAAGTTGAAAATTTAAAAAATCGAGCAATCAAAACATCAACAAATCGAAAAATCAACCAAAAATATGAGTTCACTAATAAAGGACAAAATTATGCCTGTATTTCTAGGGGGTACAATTATTAAATTAATTGTTTTAGGACATATTAAATTTAATGATCGTCACGAAATTTTAGTTTTGTTTGATCAAACTTTAACAGAACCTTTGCAATGATTAGTCAAAATTGTTATCAAATCATAATTAAATCAATAATTAAAGAAACCTATTCAAAACAGCCTCCAACATTAGAAAATTGAATCAAATCAATAGACTGATGATTATTTTATGGAAAGAGTTATAAGATAGTACATTACCAATTGCCACCCTAGATATCCTGTTAGTTTCATACGCCTTTTTCAAATTTGACATAAATCGTTTACTTTTTGCAAGCCATTCAGGAGTAACATACAACAACTTCAACGAAGACTTTTTCTCAAGCATTTGTTCATAAATAGTCTTCACTTCCTCCTTCGAAGTGCTCGCGTGAATAGTGGCTGCCTTAATGCCAATTTTTTTTAAACCAATTAACTGGTCTTCTATTAGTGAAATTAAAGGAGACACTACAAGTGAAAATCCTGATTCAACAAGGGCTGGTAGCTGGTACACCAACGACTTCCCACCACCTGTCGGCATCACAAGAAGAACGTCTTTCTTTGAAAGTGTGGCATTAATTGCTGCCAGTTGTTTGGGGCGAAAGGTATCAAAACCGAATTTGTCTTTCAAGAGTTGTCGTAATGTGTTTGACCACTCAAATTCACGATCTATCCACTCTCTGTCTAGACTCCGGCTAGTTTCTTGGATTTTCTGCTTATTTTCCTGGTCACAACGCGCTCTTTTTAACTCTTTAAGCTTAGCCGACATCTTAGTATATTCTTTTTTGGTTTCGTCAAGTTCTCTTTCCAATTTCTTCACTTTCTTAAATAAAAGCGAACATTTGGATTCTACATTTTCCAGTTCGTCGTCTGTAATTTCTTCCATTTTTTTTTTAATAGTGTTTTTGGAATGTGAATGTTTCAAAATAACAAGGTTATGTTTATAGGTTTATAAATCGGTGAACCAGTAATACCAACCACACGACCACAATACCACAAACACACAAGTGATCAGGTGGTGTTGTCAAAAGTTACCACATGAAGTAAAAGTTGGTACAATTGATTTTTGACAGCTGTCACACTGTCATCACGGTGTTAATTTGGAAACCACCTAAGCAACGTAGGTTATTCAACCAAATAATACCGAGAAAACAAAAAATTAAGGACATGGCTGATCCAAAATATGCCGATTTGCCCGGAATAGTAAGCATTAATCATTAACCATCTCTACTCACTAAAATATCCATATATTCAAGGCCCACGATGAACCTGACGTATACGAAACCACCGACCTCCCAGAGTCTGATCAAACCACTGATTTCTTCGAGGAAGAAAACGACTCGGTTGAGAAAATCCACATTTCGGCGAGCGAAGCCTTCAACAAATTTAAGGGTAAATTTTTGAAAGCCAACAATGTTGATTTTTCGGAGCGCATCAGCAAACGCATTAGAACCGGCTACGACGCTCGATCGGGCGACTGGGAGCTAGTTGGTGAAGGAGTAAAAGAAACTCCTCTGCAAAAATATCAGCGGCTTCAATGCGAAATGAAAGAATTGCTTGAAGAAATCACAAAACTTAAAAATGAAAAGACAGATGAAGAACCCAACTGTCAAGTTTCAAGCAACCAAATTGAGCAAGCTCTCAAGAAATTAACTGATTTAAAATTGGAAGAAGCGTTAGGAAGTGAAGTCGTTTCGAGCATATCTGACCCACAAGGCACCCAAATAAAGTAAACGTTGCGCTACTTCAATCATTTGGTTTTTGATGAATTTTTTTGTAGGAAATTGCTGACGCAATTAGAACAGTTTAAGGCAAGTGCTCGGGATAAAACAGAATCTCAAGCAGAAGGTGATGGTGCGAATATTGTTTATCAACTGAGCTATAGGCCAGAGCAGGCGCGGTTGTCGCAAACTTCTAGAGTTGCTGAATTGGAAAGCAGATTGCATCGATTAGAGTCTATCTTGGGTAGCACTAATGACAAACTCACGCGATTAACCTCTGTCACAAATAAAGGCACATTATTAGAAACAGCCCAATATTTAAGTGCAACTGCAAGCTTATTGGATTCGGCACAGTTGGATCACATTGAAGGGCGCTTAGCTTGTTTACAACAAAAACTAGATGCTATCACTGAAAAGAAGAAGCAGATTGCGCAGGATGAAGAAAAGGATAAAATGGTAAGTACTGCAATGAGTTTACATTTTTTTTTAATGATTGTATCACTTTCAACAAATTCAATTAATTGAATGTTTAGTAATTGAACTCCATTTCAAACGGTTAAAATAAAATTGTATGAATTTAATAGTTGATGAAGGTAGAGTATTGGATGTTACTCATAAGTAGAGAGCGGATTTTATGAAATTTGCATATCCTTTATTTTTTGCATATAAGTCTTGATATTTAGTATGTGAACGAATCATGCTAATTAAAAATGAATACAGCTATAAAAAAAATGCATATTTGCATATATTTGCTTTCTGCTGCATATTTCACGTAACGGGTGCATATTTTGCATATTTATCAATTTTTGTGCTAATTTAAAAAAAAATTGTCATTCTTTTGGCATTTAACTAGAAAGACGAAATTTCATGAATCATTGCAAATATTCTCCTGAGCTTCAAATAACTAGGAAATGTTTGGGTTATATGGTAGTTTGGAGAAACCACTGGGTGTTAAGCCATCCTTCCAAGTAAATTCAGGCCCTAATTACTTTTGAAAATACGGTTCATTCCAAATATTTTTGTTCGTTACTAAAGTGTATTAATAGTGTGTTTTATGGTGGTCGAAGACACGTTATCTTATTATTTTTCATCGTGAGTTTGCATTGAAAGCATTTCATTTAAAGTAATATGTCGAAGATAACTTAAATTAATTTATGGATTAAACTTTTTCCTGAACTTATTCTTCAAGAAGGAGCTGTGTTTTGTCGCGCCTGCTCTATTTTTACATCTGTGGACCTAGTATGCAGTTTTTCTATTTACAAATACATATTTTAAAATCACGGGAAAACTTTTTGTTAGAATATTCGAAAAATATTTAAAAATAAATTGTTACCAAAATAGTAATTAAATAGTCTATTACTGCTTTTTTTTAATTTGTTCTGTTTATATTTATTTTTTAGTATAAGAATATTACCTTTAAAAATGTGATTTATGTGTTAGTGAGATGTAATCAAACACCTTGCAATGTGATTTATGTATTTTTTGTAATAAAAGGTAAGCTCGGGAAACCTGTTTTTGTAATTTGTAAATAAATTTAGTTCGGTTATTACGCTTTTTTTTAATTTTTGGAGCATATGCAACTGCATATCTCTGCATATATTAAGAAAGTTACTGCATATTTTCCGCTCTCTACTCATAAGGCTCCTCCATACAGTCATAAAAAGATGCCAAAATAAGGCAAAACGCCGACCCATTTTGCGCCTTCATTTTAACAGGTGAAAAGGAGGGCGATACATGTGCTCATGACATAAAAATGTTTAAGGAAGAGTTTTGTATTTTTTTAAAAAACGTAGCAGTTTTTAAAATAAAAAATAAAGTGAGTAAAATCCGAGCTGATTTTTAGCGAAAACCATAACTCGGTGTGCTTTTAAAAAATAACCAGGTGAGAGAATTTTTTTCTACTTTAGGCGCCATTTTTAGTTTTCTTCGAAGATTTTACTTCTTTTAGTTATTGTAAAAAAGTGCAATGCATTTGGGGCAAATTTTGGTAAGTTAGACAACCCAAAATATTAGCTGAGGCGGTAAGCTGTAATAAAGAAATTGAGTTGAAAGTTGAAAGTTTAAAATGCTGAGGAAAATAGATTGAGAAACTCACAAGGTTCAGTCTAACACAACTTTTTATTTTCTTTATAATGTTTTAAAAATATATAAAATAAACTGTTTATGTTCAAATATAACAGCAAAAAAAATTGGTGGAAAGTTATTTCGACAGAACTTCCCTCGCACCTAAAATACAATGAAACATATCCAGCATTTTCGAGTTAAATTTTTACTTTAGGTACACAATTTTGTTATGAAATCATCAACATTTTGCAAGGACACGTAAATCAATGTGGATTGGACTAAAAATATTCCAAAAGTATTCCAAAAATTTCTGGGAAAGTGGAGTGAGTCAAGACTGATTTAATGAATAGAATAAATTGACTCATTCATTAATTTTTTTGAGCCACCTAGGTATATAAGCAAATCTAAAAAATATGAATGCAATGATAAATTACAAGTAAAAACTCATCATATTTTGCACATTTTTAGTAGAATTTATCGTCCGATGTTTCAATGATACGATTTCGCAATTTTTCAACTTTTCGATATTTTAATCTTTCAGTTTTTAAAATTCTAGATTTTTCGATTTCTCGAGTTTTCAGTTCTTCTGTGCATATTTCAGTTTTTCAATTTTCGGAATTCATTAAATTTCTGATTTTCCATTTTTTTTTAATTTTTCGGTTTTCCAGTTTTTCGATGTTTTGATTTTTCAATTATACGATTGTTCAATTTCTCGGTTTCTAAATTTTAGATTTTCCAATTCTAGTTTTTTTTTTTATTTTTTCATGTTTGGACTATTTATTAGTGCTAAAAATAAAAGTAAAAAAAAACTACCAAAATTGTGACTAAAAATATGTAAAAGTTAATAGAAAATAGAACACATTGCTGCTAAAACATAAAAATAACTGTACTTTCCGAAAAAAATCTATTGCATGATTACTGTTCCACTAGTATTGGTAATTTAGGACGTTAGTATCAAACGCAATGAAAGAATTAATTCTTAGCTGAACAAAAAAATAGTTGCATGTCAAAATCGAGTGAAACATGTGAGATGTGTGTAAACAAAAGCATGTAAATAATAACTATTTCCCGCAGAATTTCTGGAGGTTTATAGAGTTGACATTGGCTTGAGCGCGCTCCGGTCTGTGGATCATAAAAGTTCTCGGGCAACGATGTATCTAACGAGGCAGTTGAAATACCTGATATGTCACAGCGCAAAAAGTATTTCTCAAAAAACTTTCAAACGTTGATGTTTTTTTAATCGAACAAAACACAATTGGCGACGCAATAATCCAGAATGGTGCGCAGAAAAATCCTTTCGATTAACCGAACGTTATTTTGGTAAAATTTGCAAAATGAGAGAACAAGTAACACGGCTAATCCTACTGTACTCTGAAAAACATTTTACATCTCTGCAAATCTAGTTCAACATGTACTCTCCCAAAATCTTTGCATAGAAAATGAAGCAAGGGCAACTGAAGCATTTTGCAGTAACACCAAACTGACAGTAAGACAATGCGGTTTGTACATTTTTTGATACCGAGGTCGTATCGAGTAGACGTGTTTTAAATATCTCTGTGATTCTAATACAATTTTACCAGTTATAAGTGAGTAATAAGTACCAATTGTGTCAGATAATGCCTGCCGCGTGCACAAAATGTAAGGTGTCAATTACCCCTACTGTTCCGGGATTGAAATGTTTAGTTTGTAACACATTTTCTCACATCAAGTGTACTGAAATAACAAAAGCTCAGTATGACGTAATAAAATCTACTGAAGGTATAGAATGGAAATGTTCTGATTGCCGTAAAATCAACGTATCAAAGGATCCTAATGGCACTTGTAATTGTTGTGAATTAATACCACAGTTAAAAGAAATAATCAGTGATATGGCGAAATCAGTGGAATCGCTGAAGGTTCAATTATCTGAGGCAAAAAAACTTACTGATGTGAATTTTGAGGAGATAATACACGAGGTGAATGATCGTCAAAATCATAAAGCCAATTTAATAATTTATGGATTAACCGAACAATCTGCCCATTTAGCTGCCTCTGAGAAAACTGCTAAAGATAAGAGTTGCATAACTGAATTTTTAACATCATATGGACTTGATGATTCCATAATATCAATGGATTTTAAGTGCAACCGCCTAGGTAGACTTGATGTTTCGCGTCCACATCCTCGACCTTTAAAACTTCGTTTCGACAACGCTCAACATGCACAAACACTTTTCCATAAATTGAAATCTAATCGTACCCAAATTCAAAGTGATGATCAATTCAGGAATATAAAAGTTTCAATGGATAGGACACCAAGACAGATTGCCTACTTTCGTCGAATCAAAGAAGAATTAAATCAGAGAATTGCAAATGGAGAGGCTAATCTTCGTATTAAGTTTTTCAATGGTATTCCTAGTATTACACAGGTCAATAATTTAAACTAATGTCTCCCTACGTTCCAATTGTCTCAATATATTATCAAAATGTGCGCAGTATTCGGAATAAAGTAAATGATTTTTTTAATGGCACTAGTGACATGGGCTTTGACATCATTTGTATTTCTGAAACATGGCTAAATGATTCTATCTCTAATTCAGAAATAATATCCCCTCACTTATATAATGTGTATAGGTGTGATCGTAATTATAATCAGTTAAATACTTCAAGAGGTGGGGGTGTTCTTTTGGCATTAAAATGCTCTATCACTGTAGAAAATATTGATTTAACTAATCTACTTAATGAATTGATCAATGTTGAGATTGTAGGGTGTAAATGCTATCTAAACAGACTACCATTCTATATATTTGTTGTCTATTTTCCAAGAACACCTTCTCATAATGATTTACTTATACTCTGTAATTATTTTGAAGATAACTTTAGTGGTGATGATAGTTTGTTTATAATAGGAGACTTTAATATTCCACAATACACTACTGATACAAATAATACTCTTGTTCTTACACTTAACAACTTTAGTAAGTTTTTGAATCTATCTCAGTATAACATCATCAAAAACTCTAGTGATAGATTGCTGGATCTTGTTTTCTCAAATACTAATTGTAAGGTCATGCGTGATTTAGTTCCTATCGTTGTAGAAGACTCTTACCATCCAGCTCTCTCAGTTTTAATTGATTTGACAAGTGATAGCACAAACTCTTTTCCAAATAATAATGTAAGTCAATCTAATAAGTCTTTCAATTTTCGTAAAGCTAATTTTCCTTTGCTTTATCAGGAACTTTGTAATGTGGATTGGTCTTTTTTAAGTAATTTCAAGGACACTGATACCATAGTAGAACATTTTTACAGCTATTTATATAAAATATTAAGCAAACATGTGCCAACATACAGAGCTATTTCCAAAAAAACTAGATTCCCACCATGGTTTTATAGTAACATAATCAGTAATATTAAATCCAAATCGTATTATCATAAGAACTATAAAAAATATAAAAATTCATTTTATTACTCAAAGTTCAAATTTTACCGTAAACTGCTAAAAAACCAAATAGCTGCTTCACATAAAAAATATCTCGCGGATATAGAAACTGATCTTAGGAACGACCCCAAAAAATTGTGGTCATATGTACAATCTAAAAAAGGTCTGACCAGAATTCCTGGTCGAATGATCTATAATGATAATTCCCTTAATACTCCTTCTGATATTGTTGATGCATTTGCCTCTTATTTTCAGTCTTCTTATACTCAATCTTCTGACAATAACTCCAATATAGATGATACTTACAATTTAAACACACCAACGTTCTATATTAAAGAAATTACTGAGCATGATATACTTACTGCCATAAATTGTCTCAATAATTCATTTACGGCCGGTCCAGATGAATTACCTAGTTTCTTCGTACGTGACTGCAAATATGTATTTATTCAGCCTTTATTGGCAATATTTAATACCGCCCTCAAGAATGGTGTCTTTCCATCGAAATGGAAGTTGTCTAAAGTTATACCTGTTTTTAAATCTGGAGACAAAGCTGATGTTTCAAAATATCGTCCGATCTGTATCTTATGTAATTTCTCCAAAGTTCTTGAAATTATTTTATACTCTTACATATATCCTCATGTGAGAAACTTTATTTCACCACAACAACATGGTTTTATTGATAAACGCTCAACTGTCACAAACCTGGCATGTATATCTCAATTTATTGCTGAAGAGATTGATAACCAATCACAAGTGGATGTAATATATACAGACTTTTCAAAAGCTTTTGACCGCATTGATCACAAAATTTTAACATCTAAGATTGAAGCATTTGGTATTACAGGTTTGGTTTTACATCTTTTAAAATCATATATTTCTCATAGGTCTGAGTATGTCTTCTACAATGGTTTCTCTTCTTTTACATATCAAATACATTCTGGTGTGCCGCAAGGAGCCAATCTGGGGCCGTTATTGTTCATAATGTTTATCAATGATTTACCAACTATATCAAAATGCCCCCTTCTACTGTATGCTGATGATGCCAAGTTGTATAACGTTATTAATGATTTCAAAGATGCACAATTACTGCAAGATGATTTAAACCGACTTAATTTTTGGTGTTCTTCCAATAAACTATATTTGAACGTGAATAAATGTAAAGTAGTATCGTTTACACGTAAGACCTCTCCTACAATTTATGATTATAAGTTTGGTAATGACCCACTAATTAGAGAAAGCGTCATCAAAGATTTAGGTATCTTTTTTGATTGTAAGTTAACGTTTGTGTATCATATTAATCATATAATAGCGAAAGCATTTTCATTATTAGGCTTTATAATAAGACAAGGTAAGTCGTTTAATAATATTTCAACAATTAAGGTTTTGTTTAATTCTTATGTTGTTGCATGTTTACAATATGGATGTATTATTTGGCATCCAATTTATTTCATTCGTATAAGTGCTATTGAAGCAGTTCAGAGAAGATTTCTCAAATTTTGTTGGTTCAAAAAACATGGTATCTATCCGCAGCGTGGAATTGATAATTCCATTTTGTTAGCTGAATTTGAAATGCTATCTTTGGATAGTAGAAGACAAATCGCCATTATAACGTTCTTTCATAAAATCGTTCAGTTTAAAATTGATTGTGCTGAGTTACTAGCAAAGATTTCATTTCATGTTCCACGGCTATGTTGCAGAGGAGCATTGTCTTTATACTTTCCTGCAGCTCATACAAATATATTACTGAGATCTCCAATTAATTTAATCTGTATGTTATATAATAACAAGTTTAAGGATTTGGATGTCTTTTACCTTAATGAAATAAATTTTAGGAAATTAGCGAGGAACATGTTAAATTAATGACACTAGTTTAGTTTATTTTTTGTTACATTATTGTTTACTTACTTAGGATTTGATTTATGTTTTTTTTTTTTGTGTTAATTAATATTTAAATCGTCGGTTCGATCTTATTTTTTGTTTATTTATAATTATTAATATTGCTCTGTAAGAGGTTCTAGGAACTGTAGGGCAATAAAGGTTATTATTATTATTAAAGGTTATTATTTTTAGCGGCATCGCCAGACGGCTTAATAAACAAAAACGCTATCGTAGAGATATATAAAATGTCCAATTTAAATAATGCTTAATTCAACGAGATGATAAATTTTGGGAAAATAATATGATAGAGCCCTAGAAAAATTTTATTTATATGCCTTACTTCCGGAGCGAGTAGATTATCTTTATTAAACAAGTCAACCCATTAGACAAATTATAAAGAAAAAATTGTACAATTAAAATTTTTTATTTGCATTCGCGTCATGTGTAGTTCATATAAATCTTTTCACCTAGTATAAACGCACACAGGAATAAACAGTAATATTGGAATAGGTTTACTGAAGATACCACGTAAAAAACATGCCTATAATACTCTACCTCATAGGTGGTGCGGAAAAGAGTATCAAAAAATTAAATTTAAATAAATATGATTGTTCAGGTAAATAAGTGGTTAGTGAAGTGATGAGAATCTAAATCTTGTCAGTTTTGTGTATTGATTAATATATAAAGTGACAGATTAATAAAAAATACTTGAATAATTTTTTGAAAGAAAATATTTTAGTAGAACATATAAAATTATAAAAATGTGCATACTTTTAAATCAAATTATGTCAGAAATTAAAGAAGTCGACTTGTAAAAGAGTTTCAACAATGTTGGTCAGCTAAGAGTATTTATGAGTTTTAAAGTACATAGACTGATTACCTAAAAGGGTCGGTCGGCAAGGCTCCCTGCTGTGTAAAACTCAGCCATTTATTGAAACGGAAAACTTTGTAAATAGGGTTGCCTAGTTTCACTTTATTTTCGTTAGTCAGTATTTTTTTAAAAAGCAAATATTTTGATAAATATAAATTTTAAACAAAAATGACAGGGTCTTCCCCATAGAGCTCAATGTTGTCTATGCATTGATATAAAAGTTGAAGCGAAAAATGCTCTCTCCTCGTCTAGAAATGCAATTTCCTTCGAAGAATGAACGATTAATTAAACACCAAACAATCACTTATTTTAAAAAATATTGTGTCTTCCCCAAAGATTTAGACATAATCTATCAATTGAAATGTCGATCTTTTTTTCAAAGTTGAAATTACGCCCGTAGAATGAAGTTCTATTTAGGTCAATTGTCTGTCTGCTACTGGGCACCCTTAAGCTTATTTGACCACCCTTCGAAGTATCTGACAAATTTCTACGTTCTTGTTTTGATTTGATTCCCCCTTTTAATTAAATGAATGATATTAATTAAATGGAATTTTATTATTGGAATGCATTTATTCAAGCCATATTATGGATATAGGATGTGTCTAAAACAATATGTACAGTAAAGCAAATAAAATTAGAACTATAAATTACTAGTATTCCTAAGAGAGGAGTACTTACAAGGCACAGATGAAAAGAATTTCCAAACAGCAAGTATAAATTATATAAAAAAAAATGTATCTAATTTTAGAACGATAATTACGAAGTATCTAATTTCTACATTCAATTTTTTCTATAAAATAATGTGTACCATGTGGTTTTGCAGCCCGAACTTTTTTTTAATACGCTACTATACGTAAATTGTGAAGTTCCTCAGACTTACTAAATCCCACTAAGATAATTGAAGCTTCCATGGACGTAGATGTTTGCTTCCAATTTTTAAAACAGTTGTGTGTTGGAATTTCTTTTTTCTATTTGATATAGATTTTACAGAAACTAAGTTTATTTTTGACTCCTAACATAAAGAATTTTTTTAGTTCTGGCACCAATTATTATACACCAATTTCACTAACTTTGTAAAATTTTTTGTGATAATATCAAAATTTTGTATGATTGAACAACAAATGAATACCCTCTTTGTGTGGTTAGCACTAAGCTTACCGGTTGGCAATAAATCGTCTTCCAAACATTTCTTGCTTAAATTGAGATATTTAGTGAAAGTCGCCCCTGAACGAAATGACAACAGCCGGTCGAGCTGCAGTGGACACGTTATTTACGACCATAAAACCTTTTCTATTGTAGGGTCCGTTTGACAGGTAGCTAGGTAGTCGCATATTTCTTAAAATAGAAATTTCCTTGAGGTGTGGTGGAGCCTTAACCACAGTATAGACATCAATTGATATATATACTGTGCCTTAACTGTAAGTCCTTCTTGGAAACCCCCAGTAAACTGCGTAGGATTATAATAGTGATGTTTACAACACTTACCTGTATTCAAATTGCTTGTCCCAAAACGATTAAGGGTTTTACGAATCGAACGTCGTTAATCAATCAACGTAAAACGTATTCATGCACGATCTGTACAACCTTTATTCCTTTCAAGTAAGCAATCTGAGAGATTAGGACAGTAAATTATTACTACCATAAATAATCCTAAACCCTTCTAATAAAACAGAAAGTCCGTGTTCCCTATTTGGTTAGGGAATGACGGCGTTTTTCTTTTTACTTAATAAATATGTACACTAATAGGAACAGAGTTGGTTGACAATAGGAACCTAGAACGCTTTTTAACTTTTATTTTTGTGTTATATACATATCACTTTTTATTTGAATCGATATATGTTTGCAACAGTTCTAACATATCTTTTCTAAATTTAAGTTTCATGTCTGAAGAAAAATCTTTTAATATTTCCCCAATTATCACCATAAAAAACTGATCACTCACTAGTGGTGATGGATTTTCAACATTGTTTACTTCTTTCTCTTCAGTACTAACGTTATTTGCAAAATTATTCATTTCTTCGAATTGGACTTCAGTAGCAGCAGTTGATGCCTCGCTAAAAAATAAACATAAATAATCACAATCAATTTAAAAAAAATGCTATATACTTACAGACATTTAGGAAGGTATGGAACCAACCACAACATTTTATCAAAAAGTGTGAGCTCGTGAGCCTTCTTTTTTTGTAAGGGTTTTCCAAGAGGAGGAAAATCTGTATATTCCTGTACAAAATTATCAAGAAGTTCTTGCCATCTACATTGAGCGGTCGCGACTGAAATTGTTGGAAACTTAACAAAATATTTTACTTTACTATTAGTTCTTACCATCAAGTTTCAATAATTTGGAAATGTCACCCCATGATTTCCTTTTTTTCTTTTTGCTGTGATGTAAGTCATGATTTTCATCATACAAGTGAGGATGTTTTTTCATAACTTTGACTAATTCGTCGTCCAGTTCGTAATTTTCATTTTTTCCTTCGTACACTATTGTTATACTACTCACATCATTATCTTTTTTGAAAAGATGTAATAAAATTTCCGTTAAATTTGTTGATTCCTAGAAAATTATTAATACAAAACTGATTTTCTCTGTGTTGAGAAGGCGACTCACCATTGTGAAAGTTCAAAATACCGCTCGTACCCACAAATCGGTGTTCACTACGCTGAATACAGAACTAAATAGCACTTGAAAATTTCGAACGTTCACAGTTAGAAAAAGAAAACAACCACGAGGCAAAATCAGAACTCCAATTGTGCGCGATTGGTCAGAATTCGCACTTGTGTTTGCAGTACGCCAATAGCTTACATTCCCGCCACTAGTTGTAAGGTGAAGGAGGGGGGTAGTTGGAATAAGAAAGGGAGCCTAACGTTTTTCATAATTTTGGTACCTGCAACCTGTAATTGTTTTCGAAAGCGTGCAAGTTCCTCTGAATTTTGTTTCTGTTGACATTTTGCTACTTTATTTGAGGTCGAACATGACGTGATAAAAATGATTGTTTTTTCGTTGTTAGCTTTTTTTGTAATTGTTTCAAAGCGTTAATGAAGCAAACATTTTCAAAATACGTTTATTTCGACAACAAATTCATTGTATAATTTTCATACTCTTCAAAAAAAAAATGGTAGGAGGTTAAGGGTTCAAATTTTTGGAAAACAAATCAAAATCATAGAACATTTTGCAATTTAATTTTGGATCTGAATGCTTTGAAATCTTGCAGATGTTTTAAAGTTGTCATAAGCTTGGTCAATTTTTTATGAAAATATATCTCTTTATTCCCCCCAAAAAATTGATGATTCCATCCAAAATGTGCAAAATATGATAAATTTTTACTTGTGATTTATCATTGCTTTCATATTTTTTCGATTTGCTTAAACATGTGCCTCAAAAAAATAATGAATGAGTACATTTATTTTATTGATTGAATCAAAAACGGCTCACTCCATTTTCCCAGAAAATTTTTGAGAATACAATACTGTTATTTTCAGTATTATACTGCACCAATCCAAGTTGATATATGTGTCCTTGCAAAAATGTTGATGACGTCATCGCAAAATTGTGTAAAGAAAAAACTCATCTCGAAAATGCTGGATATGTTTCATTGTAACGAGGGAAGTTCTGTTGAAACAACTTTCGAGCAATTTTTTTACAAATTTTGTAATTGATAAAGAAGAAAACTTTTATACATTGTAATTTAATCTCGCAGAAGAAAAAAACGGGGTATATCTTTTTAACCAAAAAATATTCCGATTTTCTGTAGGAATATAGCCATTTTAATTCATTTGAAGAGATTATTCCTTCGGAGAACTCCGGTCCGTGGTCATCTTTGTTTTTTGGATATGGCATTAACTCCAGTCCGGCAAATATCTACCTGACTCCAAATGTACTCTTATTCATTTGAGTTAGGAAGCCCTAAATGAAATTGTTGTGGGGCAACATGTTACATATTTTACCAAAAATTGAAGAGCCGATTCTTTTGTGCCTAATTTTATTCCACTCTAGCTACAAATAAAAGTTCGATGCAACAACTTTTAAAGAAAAATTTGCACTGGTAGGAGATTTCAAAATATCTTATTGGCTACGTGTAAAGTACGACGAAAGATAATTGCAAACGCCGTCAGTTACTTTATGAAGGGTCTTTAGTACTTTGGACCGCAACCTGCAATAAAATTATTACGAACCCTTCGCAACGGAGGTACGACTTCAGCCAGAGCCGGACTTCGAATTTTGGAATGTTCATATATGTATGAATCATGGTAAATTTAATTTTTATTGGGATTTTTGTAGGAAATATGTATTTGCAAAGATTTAAAAAGTTTTAAGAACCACACTTTGATGTGTCCTTAAATTTTAAGATTAAATTCCTTGAAAGCGGTCCGTTTAACAATCTACCTGTTCACGTATTGAAACAAATACGGTCCTGGAAAGGTAAGGGTGGCTAGTAATCTTGATTGACAATTTTATGCTGGGTGCACTTTCTAAAGTGGTCGGAAATTTTACAGCTGCAATTCCCATAATTGGAGTCATTTGCAATTATCTTTCGTCGTACTTTAAATGAATCGTAAATATTAGTCCACCGATAATTACCTGCGGACGCAAATCTTTTAATGTTTAATAAAAAGAATGTTCATAAATACTTAGAAGGGGGCTACAAGATAATGTAAACTTAAAAGTCTGTCTTTAATTGCCTCTTACTTGGCGTTGTGACTTACAGATTAAATTTAGAAAACTTTAGAGGGTGGATACTCTCATAAAATTTTACTGTCGGATTATAAGGGGTTTAAAAGGACAGGTTCTATCCGTTACCTGTTATAGATTTGAGTGGACCTGAAAAATGGCTAAAGTTTGTTTGACCACAAATTTTAAATATTCTACCCGTGTTTACTCAATTATTTGTTGAGATATTTTATTTCTGTAAAGCGCAATGGATTTTTTAATACAATTTCTACTTATGCACCTTTTTGAAAATTTAAAATTGATCCATAATCTACAATTTTAACGCGTTGTACTTTTTTTTTGTTCGATTTTATATTTCGTTTTCTCGATTTTGCGATTTTTCAATTTTTCGTTCCTTCAACGATCTTGATTTCCAATTTTTAGATCTTTCAAAGTTTTCACTTTAAACTTTTCCGTTTTTTCATTTTTGATTTTTCAGTTTTTCGGTTTTCAATTTTTCAGTTTTTTTTATCCGAAAATTTGAAAAATCTGAAAAATGGAAAATTCAAAATTCAAAATCTAAAAATTGGACAAAATTGAAAAATCGAGGAACTGAAAAACGGGAAATTGCAAAATCGATACAGCGAAAGATAAAAAAATTTTAATCGGAGAACTGAAGAAACGAAAAATGAGAAACTAAAAATCGAGATACTTAAAAATCGAAAAAATCAATGAATCGAAAAATTGGAAAGATGAAAAAACAAATCGAATCTATTAAATTGGAAAACCAAAAAATTGTAAAATCGAAAAGTTACAAAATCGTTAGAATTGTGACATTGAAAGATCAAAAATTGAAAAATCGAATACAATCTAAAAAGTTTTAAAATCTAATAATTGATAACCGACAAATTTTAAAAATTATAAATACTATCTATTATATACATATTTAAAATGAAAACTTTGCGGCTTTTATTCATTCCGTCATTCCCTATTTACCCCATTTCATAATTTTCCAATTTCCTCATTTCATTCTTTCCCTATTTCCTTTATTTCCCTGTTTTCTCTTTTCCTCGTTCCTTGTTTGTCTCTTTCCCTGTATCTTTAATTCTCCCTATCTCTTTTTCTTTAATTCCCTCATTCTCTCATTGCTTCGTTTCCTTATTTCTTTCCTTTTATCCCTATTTTCCTATGTCCATTTATTTCCTTTAGTTTCCTATTTCTTTTATTTCCCTATTTCGGGGTTTCCTATTTTCTGTTTCCTTATTTCCTTATCATCCCTTTTCCTTCCTTCCTTATATCGTTCTTTCCATCTTGCCGTGTATCTCTAGTTCTCCATTTTCCTTTTCTTCTTTCCCCCTTTTCACTGCACCCGCTCCTCCCATGTCCCATTTTCCCCTTTTTAAATTTTAAAAATCTTAATTGTGATTATATACATATCCTAGGTCTTTATTTCCCTCTATTCCTTTTTCTTTAATTCCCTCATTCTCTCATTACTTCGTTTCCTCATTTCTTCTTTTTTTTCTTTCCTTCTATCCCTATTTTTTTATATCTTTTATTTCCCTATTTCGCGATTTTCTTGTTTCGGGGTTTCCGATTTTCTATTCCTTATTTCGTTCTTTCCATCTTTCCGTCTATCCCTATTTCCCTATTTCGATATTTAACATTTCCACTTTTTTCCTTTTTTCCCCTTTGAAAATTTTAAAAATTATAATTATGATTAGACACATACTTAAAATAAAAACTAGAAAATTTTCAGTCTTTCACCCATTCCCTCATTCCTTCTTTCCTTCATTTCATAATTTTCTAATTTCCTCATTTCCTTCGTTCCTTATTTCCCTTTTTTCTTCTTCCGTTTTCTTCTTTGTGTCTAGTTCCCTCTATCCCTTTTTCTTTAACTCCCTCATTCTCTCATTACTTCGTTTCCTCATTTCTTCTTTTTTTTTCTTTCCTTCTATCCCTATTTTTCTATATCATTTATTTCTTTTAGTTACCTGTTTCTTTTATTTCACTATTTCGTGATTTTCTTGTTTCGGGGTTTCCTATTTTCTATTTCCTTGTTTCTTTTTCATCTTTTTTCCTTCTTTCCTTAATTCATTTTTTCCTCTTTCCCGCTTTCTCCATTTCTCCCTTCCTTCCTTTTAGAAAATTTTTCGTCTTTTACTAATTCTCTCTTTGCCTCATTTTATAATTATCTAATTTTCTCATTTGCTTCGTTCCCTATTTCTTTTATTTGCCTGCTTTTTCTTTTACTCTTTCCTTGTTTGTCTGTTTCCGTGTTTTTTTTAGTTCTCTCTATCCATTTTTCTTTAATTCCCTTATTCTCTGGTTGCTTCGTTGACCCATTTCTTCCTTTGTTCTTTCCTTGTATCCCTATTTTCATATGTCCTGTATTTCCTTTAATTACCTACATTTTTAATTTCCCCATTTCGTGATTTTCATGTTTCGGAGTTTCCTATTTTCTGTTTCCTTATCATCCTTTTTCCTTCTTTCCTTATTTCGTTCTTTCCATCTTTCCGTCTTTCTCCGTTTCCCTATTTCCTTATTTAACATTTCCCCTTTCCCGCTTTCTCCATGTCTCCCTTCCTCCAATTTCTCCCTTTTCCATTTCTCCTGTTTCCCCCTTTTCTTTCCCCTTCGTCTCTTTCCCCCTCTTCACCGCACTCGCTTTCCATTTCCAGTCTTTCCCCTTTTTAAATTTTAAATTTTAAATATTACATATAATTATTATTAGATACATATTGGAAGCTAGAAAAATTGCAATCAAAAATTTAAGAAACAAAAAATAAAAAATCAAAAAGTTAAAAAACCGAAAAATTGAAAAATCAAAAATTGAAAACTCGTGAAATTGCAAACTGAAAAATTACAAAATCTAAAATTTGAAATATGTATAAAAAGTTGGGAAATCGAAAACTAAAAAATTTTAAAATAAAACTCGAAAGTTACATATCGTAAAATTGAAGAAACCAAACAAAATGAAGAACTGAAAAATTGCAAAGCGGAGTATTGAAGAAATTGAAAATATTTAAATTAAAAAAACAAAAACATAAAAACGAAAAGTTGTAAAAATAAATGAAATAAAAAACCGAAACGAAAAATTAAAAATTGAAACCTCGAGAAATTTTAAATCGAAAAATTGCAAAATCTAAAATTGAAAAATTTTACCACCTTCTGAATTGAATTAAAAAAGTGACAAATTTAAACTTAAAAACATGAAAACTTGCAAATCAAAAATTGGAAAAGCAAAAAATTAAACCGAAAAATCACAATTGAAAAATCCTAAAATTCAAAATCACATTGAAAAAAGAAAAATGATAAAATCAGAACATTGAAAAAAAATACGATAAAAACCTAAGCGAAAATTGAAAATCGAAAAACTGAAGAAATGAAAAATTGAAAAATTAATAAATGACAACTCGTGAAATTGAAAATTGGAAAATTACAAAATTCAAAAACTGAAACTTCGACCAGTTTCGGTAAAGTTTTGTTTCGTATTTTTTCTCAGCGCATTTCATGACCTCTAAAGTATAGAAAAAATGGTTTCCAATTTCCGTCTGTCCGTCTGTCTATCAATTTCACTTACGCAACTGGTTTTTACTTTATAGAGGTTATCACAAAACAAAAATCGCAGTATCAAATTTTATAGTAATTCTTTTAAGAAGCGAGATTTGTTGGACTGTACTTCAAGCGCAGAAAAATAACCTTCGACCAATTTTTTCACACATTATCTATGTAAATTGTTTTTACTTCATAGAGGTTATCACAAAATTACTGAACTATCGCAAAACAATTTTTGTGATTTTTCAAAGAAGCGATACTGTACTTCAGGGGCGAGGGAAGTTCTGTCGAAAGAACTTCCAATTTTGTAACACGTTTCACGAAGTTTAGAACAAAAAAAAAACACAAACATTTTTTTTTTTACAATATGCATGTATTTTATACATTAAACTTGACGGCAGGAAATTAAAAAAACTTTGACCGTTGAACGGAACATTCAACTTATTATAAATTTGCCAAAAATAAAATCAACATATCCATTTCTTCAAGTTTTATATAACTTTGTCGGTTAATTCTTTCAATTAGTTAACATTTTAAACACAAATCCACATCACAAATAGTCACTTGTCGTCATCATATAAATACTTTTCCAGCAGTTCTAAAACGTCTTTCTTAAACTTCAACTTTTTCCTCGGGCGCATAGCTTGACAGTCATGGACCACTGACATCATGAAGTAATGATCAGATTTATTCGGAATTTCACTTTCAGTCGGCTGTGAAATACCGTCAGCAGCTGACGTAGAGGACAACATGGCATCATCTTCCAAATAAGACTCGTGATATGTGATGTCCGATGCGTTCGATTGTGTTTCCGCCTTTACGTTCACACTTTCTTTGGTTTCGTGATTATCGCTGCTTTGAGTGTCGTCGTTTAAAGAGAACTGTGGAGCTACCTTGGTTTTCATTACAAAAACTGAGGACGTCATTCTAAAAAAAAAAGAAATTTATTAAATTACTGAAAAAATATATGTTTTCAAAGATTAAAAACTACTTCCCTGAAAATAACCAAAATATATTAAAAATATTTTCATATGGTATAAAAACTTTTGTATTAAAATGATGTACGCCACTGGCAAGTAAGTAAACAAGGGGTGAGTGAAAATATAAAAAAAAGCGTATTAATTCATTTAGTTTTCAATATTTAGTTTTTTCAATTATTTTAAACCCATCAAAGTTAATTTTTAAGTTTCAGTATGTTCATTGAGATTTGTAGGGTGAAAATAGTTCGAGAATGTCTATCAAAATGTATGCACGTACCTGCGTTTGCGGATATGTGGCGCCAACCATAACATGTGGTCAAACAATTTAAATTTGTTCTTCACCATGGGATTATTGCTCGACGCCGTATATTCTCTGTAAACTCGTACAAATCTGTCTCGTAAATTTTCCCATCTTTTCCGGACGCTTTCAGCTGAAAATTCATGAATCAGTTAATATTTGAACCATTCAATTATCAACAACGAATAATATTTCAAACAAGTTCATTTATTAATAACTTGAGCATGAAAAATTTGAAACAAGTTACATCGAGTCGAAGCAACGTGTATAACAAGTTTCATACCATCCAAATTCAGTTGGCTAGCGATGGAGTCCCACGATTGTTGCTTTCGTATATAATCTTTGTAGTAATCGCTGCGTTTATCGTAAATACCTGGATGTTTCGCTATCAGCGAGACTAAATATTCGTCAGCGTCTACTCTGTAACTGGAATTGCTCATGTTTTTTTGATTGTGTCGAACTGTGTGTTAGAATTCGCCAAAACGGAGTAAATACGATGTTTTGTCGTCGGCGCCGCGTCGGTAACTGTAATGTTGAACTGGCATGACCTTCACGTTTCCGTTCCCGTTATAGGAGGGGAAGGGGAACGACAACTGGTACGTCGTGTACGTTACGCGATCAATGATATCCGTGGAAGGTCAAGCTGATCCAAAAAGGTTGATCATTTATTCGGGATATTGTTATGTTCATTTTAATAAAACCCTACAGGAATTAGTTGTTCTAACTCTAGTTTCGCTAGCTCAACAATGGTAAATTAGGGTTTGTTTAAAAATGACTTTTGCGAAAGTTAAATGGTTTCGTACAGACGCAACGGCAATTCAGTTTAATGTCAGATGATATACAATGTGTATATGTTTATAAAACTGACAATTTATTTATTTTTGTTGTTATTTATCATTAATAATATTCAGAACGTTTTGTTGCATTGTAGGATAATTAATAATTTTAATGGCTTTCTCTGTTTTGAGGAGACAATTTGCTGCGTGCATAATTGTCGCATTCTTTCGATGTATAAACAATTGAAGTTAAGCATGTACTGTAAATATATTTTTACCTCAGAGGCGAGGCAAGATCGGTCTAAATAACTGTGGACCAATTTTTTGCGTTTAAAAGAGAAATTAAAGTCTTACAGGCGCCTAGTGTTTTTTTTTCTTAGTATAAAAAAATCTTCGAGATTTTGTGTGTTGTGTTTTTAAAATACTTCGAAAAAATCTCGAGGATCCGTGGAGTTCTTTATTTGGAAAGAATTTTACATAATCTTAGAGGCTTCTAGCGTCTTTTTTTTTTAATGTGATGTTTCGTTTTTGAAGTAGAAATCAAAATATTGTAAAAACCGAAAAATTGAAAAATCAAGAATTTTAAAAATCTAAAAAATCCAAAATCCAAAAATTAAAAAAAATTTTGAAAAATCGAGTAAGTAAAAAATCAAAGAAACAGAACGTCAAAAATTAATTGAGAAATTGAGAAAAAAAATTTAGAAACGCCAAAAATTGAAAAATTTAAATACATAAATCCTAGAACTAAAACGTCGAAAAATTGGAAACGCGAATAATCGTAAAGACGAATAAATCAAGACTGAGAAATCGAGAAATCAAAATCGAAAAATTGAAAAAATGCGACATCAAAAGATCGATAAATGGGAAAACTCAAAATTGAAAAATTTAAACTTAAAAACCCGATAAATGAAAATATCGAAAAAGCGAAAAATTAATCCGAAAAATCTAAAAAGGAGAAGGCCAAAATCGGAAGTCCCAGAAATCGAAACAAAAACAAAATGAAAAATCTGAAATTTAAAAATTCGAAAAATTGAAAATTTACAAAATCGAGAAATCAAAACGTCAAAGAATCGAAAAATTAAAAAATTGATAATAAAAAAAAACTGAAAATGTAAAAACGAGAAGGCGAAAAAACGAAATAAATCCGTTAAATCGAAAATTGATAATAAATCGAAAAATCTAAAAACGAGAAATCAAAAAATCGAAAGATTGAGAAATCGAAACAACAAAAAAGTGAAAAATCTAAAATTTAAAAATTCGAAAAATTGAGAATTTACAAAATCGTGAAATCAAAACATCAACGAATCGAAAAATAAAAAAATTGAAAAACCGAAACATGTAAGGTTTAAAAAATAACAAAATTTTGAAAATCGAAAAATTGAAAAAATGCGAAATCAAAACATCAAAAGATCGATAAATGGGAAAACTCAAAATTGAAAAATGTAAACTTAAAAACCCGATAAATGAAAATATCGAAAAACCGAAAAATTAATCCGAAAAATTGAAAAATCGAAAAATCTAAAAATGAGAAGACCAAAATCGAAAGTCCCAGAAATCGAAACAAAAACAAAATGAAAAATCTGAAATTTAAAAATTCGAAAAATTGAAAATTTACAAAATCGAGAAATTAAAACGTCAAAGAATCGAAAAATTAAAAAATTGATAAGTCGAGAAATGTAAGACTTTCAAATTCGCAAAATTTTGAAAAATCGAATAAGTAAAAAATCAAAAAAACAAAAAGTCGATGATTCTAAAAATTTAAAAATCGAAATAAATCTTGAAAAGTCCCAAAACTTTAACCCTGAAAATATGAAAACCGAAAAATTGAAGTCAAGAATTTTAAAAATCTAAAAAATCCAAAAATTAAAATATCGAATAGATGAAAACGTTGAAAAATGTAAGATTTAAAAACTTGCAAAATTTTGAAAAATCAAAAAAACAAAGTCGAAAAATCCAAAAATCGACAAATCCCAAAACTTAAACAGAGAAATTGAAAAATTAAGAAATCGAAAAATGGGAAAATTAAAAAATCGTTTAATTGAGAAATTGAGAAAAAAAATTAGAAATCCAAAAATTGGAAAGTCGAATAATCGTAAAGACGAATAAATCGAAAAACTGAGAAATCGATAAATCAAAATCGAAAAATTGAAAAAACGCGAAATCGAAACATCAAAAGATCGATAAATAGGAAAACTCAAAATTGAAAAATTTAAACTTGAAAACCCGACAAATGAAAATATCGAAAAACCGAAAAATTGAAAAATCGAAAAATCTAAAAAAGAGAAGGTCTCAGTTTCAGAAATCGAAACAAAAAAATGAAAAATCTGAAATTTAAAAATTCGAAAAATTGAAAATTTACAAAATCGAGAAATCAAAACGTCAAAGAATCGAAAAATTAAAAAATTGATAAGTCGAGAAATGTAGGACTTGAAATTTCGCAAAATTTTGAAAAATCGAATAAGTAAAAAATCAAAAAAACAAAAACTCGATAATTCTAAAAATTTAAAAATCGAAAAATTGAAAAGTCAAGAATTTTAAAAATCTAAAAAATCCAAAAATTAAAATATCGAATAGATGAAAACGTTGAAAAATGTAAGATTTAAAAACTTGCAAAATTTTGAAAAATCAAAAAAACAGAAAGTCGAAAAATCTAAAAATTTAAAAATCGAAATCTTGAAAAATCCAAAAATAGACAAATCCCAAAACTTAAACAGAGAAATTGAAAAATTAAGAAATCGAAAAATGGGAAAATTAAAAAATCGTTTAATTGAGAAATTGAGAAAAAAAGTTTAGAAATGCCAAAAATTGAAAAATCGAAAATTTAAATACATAAATCCTAGAACTAAAACGTCGAAAAATTGGAAATTCGAATAATTTTAAAGACGAATAAATCGAAAAACTGAGAAATCGAGAAATCAAAATCGAAAAATTTTAAAAATGCGAAATCAAAACATCAAAAGATCGATAAATGGGAAAACTCAAAATTGAAAAATTTAAACTTGAAAACCCGACAAATGAAAATATCGAAAAACCGAAAAATTGAAAAATCGAAAAATCTGAAATTTAAAAATTTGAAAAATTGAAAATTTACAAAATCGAGAAATCCAAACGTCAAAGAATCGAAAAATTAAAAAATTGATATAAATCTTGAAAAATCCCAAAACTTTAACACTGTAAATTTGAAAATCGAAAAATTGAGAGGTCGAGAAATCGGAAAGAAAAAATGGAAAAGTGGAAAAATTAATTAAATTAAATTCATTAATCTAGAAATTGAGAAATCGAAAAATCAAAAATTTAGAATCGAAAAATTTAAATACATAAATCCCAAAACTGAAACGTTGAAAAATTGTAAAATCGAAAAATTGAAGAATCGCGAATTCGAAACATCAAAATATTGAATTTTTCTATTTTTCTATCTTTGGCTATTTCGATATCTCAATTTTTCGATTATTCGTTTTTTTGATTATTCGAGTTTCCAATTTTTCGACGTTTCAGTTTTGGAATTTATGTATTTAAATTTTTCAATTTCTAAATTTTTGGATTTTTCGATTTCTCATTTAAAGTTTTGGGATTTATTAATTTTGGAATTTTTCAAGATTTGAATTTTTAAATTTTTAGATTTTTCGACTGTCTTGATTTTTTGGTTTTTTACTTACTCGACTTTTCAAAATTTTGCGAGTTTTTAAATATGTCCTGAAAAATCCCAAAACTTAAACATTGAGAAATCGAGAAATCGGAAAAACGAAAAATCGAAAAGTCGAAAAATTAAAAAATCCATTAAACGAGAAATTGAGAAATTAAAAAATCCAAAAATTTAAAATTTAGAAATGCGAAAAATTGAAAAATCGAAAAATTCAAATGCATAAATCCCAAAACTGAAACGTTGAAATATTCTAAAATCGAAAAATTGAAAATATGAATTATCGAAAAACTGAGAAACCGAGAAATCGAAATTGAAAAATTGAAGAATTGCGAAATCGAAACATCAAAATATCGAGAAGTCGAGAAATCGAAAAATCAAAAAACTGAGAAATGGAAGTGGCGAAAAATCAAAAAACGAGAAAATGAGTTCTTTGTTTGGAAAAAATTTTACAGAATCTTTTTGTTAAAAATGTGATGTTTCGTTGTTGAAGGAGAAATCAAAATATTGTCTAAACTAAAAAATTGAAAATTCAAGAATTTTAAAAATCTAAAAAATCCAAAATCCAAAAATTAAAATATTGAATAGTTGAAAACGTTGAAAAATGTAAGATTTAAAAACTCGCAAAATTTTGAAAAATCGAGTAAGTAAAAAATCAAAAAAACAAAGTCGAAAAATCTAAAAATTTAAAAATCGAAATCTTGAAAAATTCCAATATTGAAAAATCCCAAAACTTAAGCAGAGAAATCGATAATTTGGAATATCGAAACATCGGAAAATTAAAAAATCGTTTAATTGAAAAATTGAGAATGTTTAGAAATGCCAAAAATTGAAAAATCGAAAATTTAAATACATAAATCCTAGAACTAAAACATCGAAAAATTGGAAACTCGAATAATCGTAAAGACGAATAATCGAAAAACTGAGAAATCGAGAAATCAAAATCGAAAAATTTTAAAAATGCGAAATCAAAACATCAAAATATCGATAAATGGGAAAACTCAAAATTGAAAAATTTAAACTTGAAAACCCGACAAATGAAAATATCGAAAAACCGAAAAATTGAAAAATCGAAAAATCTAAAAAAGAGAAGGTCTCA